GTTGGGGCTGAATCTAGTTCGTAGGCCTCTTCCCTGCAGTCCTGCCTCTTCCCAGAAACTGAACCAGCAGAGGCAACCTGAACCACTGCATGGTGCCATGTGGTGGCTCAGAGCCAGACCCAGGGGCTGAAGAGGAGGGCTGGAGATGAGAGAGTGAATATTAAGTACCTGTGGGTTCCTCCTTCCTTACTGTTGCAGGAAAGTGAATCTGTCAGTTACTGCTGTAAAGGAAGGGTTTGTAGCTCAAGCCTGGTTGGGTGATCTGGGTGATTCTGGGTAAGATGGGAGATACAGTTTTTTTAACAGGGTGAGGGCAGGGCCTAGGTGGTGGAGGAGGGCAGAACAGTGGGTTAAACAGTTCAGCAGCACTTGGTTTGTTCAGGAAAGTCCTCTGTGGCTAAGGAGAGACTGTTGTGTCGTACATGATGTGACAGGCTGCAGCACGGGGGGCATCTTGCCCTTGTATTCATGTTGTACAAGGCTTAAACTGAGGGTTCTCCTTCAGGTCTTGATTATGCCTGTGCTGCTTTGCTCTGTCCTGAGGGTGGTTGTGGTTTCCTTAGTGGTTACAGTTTGGTTCTGTCACAGGTGGTTGCGAGGCCTCAGTCGAGTTACTGCCTTGACTGTAAGGCAGGGGGAGAAAATACTGGGAGGACTTGCATGCAGTGTCAGGGGTTGCATTCTTGAGGTATAGCATTACAGTGTCCATCCCTTTCCCCAGCTGGGCTGTCTTGTTTCTTTTTGGGACCTCATGGTGATCTGGTCATCCAGACAGGAGTTGATCTAGCACTGGGACCAGCCCAGGAAAATGGTGTTTGCCAGATCACCTCCCTAGTGTTAACTGTACAGCCAGATAAGTGCCAGGACAGCATAAAGAGGGTTGTGGGGGCAGTGTATCTGGGACAGGTTGGACTGACTGAAATTTAAGCTGATTGTAAATGTACTCTGAGATTAGGATTATGTATTTTATTCAGACAAAAGGATTGCTTTTGTTAATAGCCAAAGCTATTTGTTGCACCCTCTTTTATCCTCAGTAAAGAAGCTAGAACATGATTCTGCATTTGCTCTTTCAAAGGATGAGTGGAAAAAGCCTTAAGTAAAACAGATCCGTGGGAGCAGTTCAGCGTAACCTGTAACAGGAAGAAAACAAACTGCAAAGGCAAGTAGCTGTCAGGATAACTCAAGGGTATATGGGTGGCTGATCCCCTATTCCAGCATATCATAGTGGAAAACACTTTAGGGCTATATTGCTCATAATAAGAAGTAGGCAGCTTGTCTTGTAGCTTCCTCCTGCCTGCAAGAGGCCATAGAAATAACGCAGCCGCTTCTTTTATACCATGTGGTGGACCTGCCCTTATGGCAGGCCACTGCAGTGCTAGTGTGCTGTTAATGTAAATATTAGGATAGAGCAGAAATGAAGCCATTGGTTCTTGGGGTTGTTTTCTTGGCAATACAGAAGCCGGTGGCTGTTCTCCTGTTCTCTTCCGTTGCACTCGAACGATGTCTGGCTATGGATAGACAATAGGCAGGCTGCTGCCCGCTGTAAATAGCCCATTGTACGCCGAGAGTAGGAGCAGCAAAGAACGGCGGAGTCCTGCCAACTTGGGTCGTTGCCTTGAGATACTGGCTCTGCTGTAAAGAATGAGTCTTGGGTGCTGCGGGGGGTGTGTGCGCGCATGTGTGTGAGCAGAGAGAGCCAGCTTTGTCTGAGCCGAGAACTCCTGGACCGAATTGATACGATGAGTTCAGAGGGATGCTTTCATGGGCTGGATTTTAGGAACCGCCCCTTCTGTGCAGGTGACCAGGACAGGTAGTTATCTCTAAAGCAGTTTTGCCCTGTTATTAAACATACTTTCCCATATGTGTGTGGTAATTATTTCTAAACTCTCAAACAAAGGGTCTACTGGTTGCAGTGAGTAAAAAGCACTTTTGACCGCAAATGTCCATTTCCCTCCAAGTATTTTGCTACATGTAGCAACCTGAGTATCAGAGTGGTACTTTGCTTATCCAGGGTCCTCTTTCTTTGTGTCTCCAGCTGTGACTTCCAATGGCTTATGTCCTGTCTCTCACTGGGGCAGAGTTTCTGAGTCTGTTCCTTGTGTTTCGGGTCTTGTCTGCGTGAGAAGCAGTTGCAGGACCAGAATTTGTGAACAGAGCATGGCTGTTTTTGCTCAAGTGAGCAGACTTAGCCACATCCTTCCCTGAGGAAAAGGACTGAAAGCCAGACCCTAACTCCACTGGGAAGATCTTTGTATCTCAAGCGAAAGGCTCTGAACTGCTCTCCTTGGGTCACAGTAAACACTCTGGGTGACTGATGGGAGCCATGAGCCACGTAAATACTCAGATGAATCAAAGAAGGCTGGGAGGCATTGAAGCACCCTTTCTTGATGGGGCTTATTTGGATGCAGGTGTTAAGAATGTGAATTTATTTTCCCTGTTGCATCTGGCTTTGTTTTAAATACAGAAAACAAGAGTTGATACAACTTAGCAGATAGTGTTAAGCCTTGGAATTGCTTAGTCTTGCAGAAAACTCTGTTCTAACCTTGGGTTTTTTTGTGCTGATGAGGCAGAAGGTATAATAGAAAAATGTCATCCCTCAGTATAGACTAAAGCAGTAAAATGCATCATTGTGTAATGGATAACTTGCAGTATAACTGCTTGAGAAAGGTTTGAAGTTTCAGGCTGCTCTACAAACACCTGGTCAAGGAAAAGAGAAGTGATGGGCATCTCTCCCTTCGCCTAGGCTGAAACCATAGTAGCTCCTTGACTACAATGGGGCTCTTACGTGAATGAAACGATCATGTTGAGTTCAATTCTTGTCAGCTGTAATGACACCACAGCCTTTTGAAAGAGTAACTCTCTAATGACACTGCATTGCTAAATCATACAGTGTGTGTGCAGGACGCATCATGACTCTTGCAGTGAGGAAAGCAAGTATCTGTTGCTTTAAAAGTCAAAGGTGCTTTTTGTGGGGCTTGAGGAGAAAAGAGCTAAGCTTGCTTTTAGCCCTTGTATACATTATGTCCCCCTTCTCCTAGTTTTATAGCATGGTGTCTGTGATATAGTCAAAATTAACCTGTAAGCCAAGACTTCTTTGTTGGAATTGCATCTTATTCTTAACTGTTTATCTGTGTATATTAAAGTGTAAGAGGTAGTTTTCATGCCTGCAGTGCTAATGAAGATAATCTGCGGCATAAAAAGCAACAGCATGGTAATCCTAACTATCGAGTTAGTAATTGATTTTTAAATTTCTTTTATGCCAAGGGAAGATGAAGTTCCTCGTTAATATATTCAGTTCTTCTCTACCTTTCATTCTGACAGCCTGATGTGGATTTTAAGCATAGTCTGCTCTGTATCACAAGGCAAATAAAGAAAAAGCATTTCTGGGGTGGCCCTGTACCCTGAGACTCTGCCATAAGAGGTGGAGAGGGGGCAGTGCCTGCAGGCTGGGGAGTGCTCTGTGGGTCCAGGACCCTTACAGAGGTGGAACTTGATTCCATCCTGAAGCTGCCCCCATCCATGACCTTGCCTGTCCTTCTGCTAACATTGTGAAACCCTGGGCCCTTTGGACCATTTTTATGGCTTTTTTGCTGTCTCTAGCAAATCCTTGTCCAAATACTGGTTAGACTTTTTGTGACCTAGACAACTCTTCTGTTGCACAGTTGAATAACCGATTGCAGCAGCAAAGGTTTCAGGGGCAGACACTGAACTAGAGATTTTCCTGTAGAAATACGAAGTCTTGGCCTGGTATGGTTGGTTCTGAAACTAATAAGCATATAATCCTGCCTGTTTGGGTTTCAGTGTCTCCTACGCTGCCGTCCTGCAGCGACGTGTTGTTACACAGTGCGTTCTAGCTATTTAAACGCAGATTCTGACATCCTTGAGGTCCTGTGGTTAACCTTATTGTCTGTAGGAAATGGCTGGGCTGAAATTACCTGAGTAAATTCATCTCTGCACTTGAAGCAAGCGGGAAGGCGTTGCTCCTGCCTGGCCAGCAGCTGTTGCCAGCCAGCCTGGGTGACAGTGAGCCCTGCCACCAGCCGGCTGGGCGGGTGGGCACCCTTCGCGGGTGGTGGGGTGACTGAGCGCGGGTTGCCATTGGCCCGGCAGGCCGGCTGCCTGCTGCTTACCTCTCACCTAGTGGGCAGGAGCCGGTGGGTTTGGCATGTGACAGTCCCCGGAGACCTTGGCTGTAGAGGAGAGCACCAGCTCAGCTGACAGCAATCCCTTTCTCCCTGCAGCTGGCTTGCTGGGGAGTATCCATGTCCGTGAGCGCTGGCGGGGAGCAGCCGCTCTCGGCTCTTCCTCCTCTGTGAACGTGACAAATCAAATGTGCTTCCTGTGCTTGATGATATGGCTGTGTGCTGCTTCCCTGGGCCTCCTCCGCTGCTTTAGTCTGCCTCACCATCAGGGATGAATTGCTGGCCTGGTGCTGGGGAAAATGGGAAGCCTGCTAGAGTAAAGGAGCTATGGGAGGATACCAGCTGTGATGGCAGCTTGCTGTAGTGAGCCTCCTGTGCATGACCAAAGGAGAGTAGAAAAGAGTGGGCTTATCTTACTGGTCTGTCTTGAAAAAATCCTGCTACTACAGGATTAGGAAGCTCTCTGGTTAATGCAGGCAGGTTAACATTTCATACCCCTGACTTCTCTGTTTGACACCTACTGTTCAGTCTTACAGTACAGCTACTCTTCAGGTAACTATTTAGCATCTGTGAAATGCTGTCCTTCAGAAAAAGGCTAAAGTTTTGTTAAAATGTAGCGTCTGTTAAAAACTTAAAGAAATTGCCTCCAGCCCCACCTGTTTTTCTAGAGTATAAACTAGAATTGCTTGCTTGCTTCCTTGCAGCACAGAGGTCTAAAGGTATTGCCTGCCTAGTGGCAGATGAAATTATTTTGGTAGTGGAAGCTAGCAGGACAAAGCATACATTGCTCTCCTACGGTAGCAGTGAATTGGAAGGGGACTTGAAGTTTTTGTGTGTAACTTTCCTTCCTTTCAGCAGATTCCAGCATTGGGACAACTGCACTGAACTGCAATGCAAGCACATGAGTTGTTCAGACACCTACGGATGCCGGAACTTGGGGACGTCAGACAGTATGTGCGCACGCTTCCAACAAATACGCTGATGGGCTTTGGTGCTTTCGCAGCTCTCACCACCTACTGGTATGCAACAAGACCGAAAGCACTAAAACCACCATGTGATTTAGCAATGCAGTCTGTGGAAATAGAGGTAAGTGTCACTTACGGGATGCTGTCACTGAATTTTGAAGCCTAAAGGCAGCATTGAGGGAGCCCAAACACCAATTTAACTAAGAGTGTTTCTAAACTTGTAGTGTGGAGGGAAATACATTTCAGGGCATGTTTAGGATTTTTCTGAAATGTAGCTTGAACTCAGTTTCTGCTTTCTGAATGTGAAAATCAGCTTCAGGGTTGAGGTCATCATGGTGGTACCTAGCACGGGAGAAAGACTGTGCTGTGAAAACGGAGCTTCTGATCTGAGTGGTGGCAGGAAACCTGTGACTGTTAGAATTGGCACAGTGTAGCTTTCAATTCCTGGCCCCGCATTTGGGTGATGACCTACTGAATTAGGTCTTGAGGTCAGAGTATATATGCTGGTGCGTACTGATTAGGCTAATACTTTTCTGTTATAATATTTAGTTTATAATAGCGGGCAGAGGAGACTTTATATTGGGTTACAGGCACAAAGAGGGTACTAACTGTCCTCAAATGATCTGTGGAAAGACATTAGTCCTGCCAAGAGATCCCAGCCATAGAGCAAGCTGAAATTAAAGCAACCACCTGCTAAACTCTGGATATGCTAGCTTAGCTTTTTTCTTATGCTTTTTAGAGGCAGACAGAGTTGCTGTTAGGTGGTGGTTTTTTTAATAGTGAAGCTGAATATGGAAACAGTCTGACTGGGAGGAACTGTTGCTTAGAAGCAAATAGAGATAACTGATTACATGGCTAGGGTTTCCTGTGCAGCAGTTGTATCAATTCCCCTGTTCGCTACAGAGTAAAGATTTAACCGCTTCATTCTTTCAAGAGTGCTTCTGTGTTTCTTAAGGGCAGGCAAGGTGTTTTCCCCTTTTGCAGGAAGGAGACAACTTTGAAAGGTGGTGATCTTCAAGGGAGATGCTTACAAAAAGCAGGATTGTAAGGCTGACTGTTTCTTGCATTACAACTACCAATATAGAAATTTTTTTTCTGGTATACTTACGACAGAAGTCTCCCTTTACGGCACATCCTTCTGTGTGGTTAGACTGCATCTCGTTGTCCTCTATCAGAAACAATTAATGTCACTTTTTGTGCTTAAGAGTAGATGTGACTGCAAACTGATGTAAACAAATGTGGGAGAGCAGTTTGAAATTTACTGTAGGTAAACTTTCATGAACTTGAGCAAAGCAAACTCTTGTCGTAACCTCAAATCGGGCACTTTCTTTGCAGTGTTTCATGATACTAAGATTGAAGAATGAAGCATTAGTTGGATCTTACATTCAAAGGTTTAGTTAGTACCATTTATTTCCTGAATAAAGTAGCAGTGGCAGCTTTCCAGCTGTGGTGGGCCTCACTAGTCAGTAAAGACTTGAGCAGTTTGGGGGGCAGGTTTGCAGTGGAAGATGGTAAACCAGTGACTTAGCTGGCTGTAAAATCCAGCATGACAAATGCTGATGTGCTTGAGACTATTGACAGCAGTCACAGTTCACTGCCTTTACCTCTTCAAGCTAAATTTCTTGTCACTGCTGGATTCAGTGATTGAAATCAGTGTTTTGTAGTATGAGACTTCACTACACTCCTTAATACATCCTTGATCCGTATTGTACTAATTAACATCAGCTCTCCGATCAGAGCAAGTAGGTATAACAGCATTGTTTTGTGTTGCCTTTTCAGAAAGTAGATTTTAAGAGGAAAACTAAACAGTAGGAAAACTGAAATGAAAAACAACAGTGTTAGCATGTCTTGGTGATAAGAGCTCAGACTTTGGGAACATGCTGAAATGAGCATGATCTATCCAGTCTTGTTTATTGACAGTTCAGGTACTGCCCTTGATGTAATATCACCTGTACTAAACTGTAATCAAATGAGAATGTATGTTTTGAAGCAAGTTTCAAGTGTCCATTAAATTGATACTTCTATAAGTAACTAGAGTGCAATACAGTACTTGGGATTCAGTTTCTCACTACATTCTGTGTAGAATTTCACTTCACTTGCTCTATTCTTATACATGTGTTTAGATGGATTGTTGGTTCCATAAAAGAAAAACATCAAATTCTGCTCTCCAAATTGTGTCTTAATAGTTTTTCTGGCTAAACAATACAATATTAAAAGGTCTAGGGAATAAGCAATATGCTCCAAAAGACATTGCTGAAGGCAGTTCCTCTTCCCTAATGTTTTAATATCTAATCTACCTGTTTGTTAATGATAATTTCAAACTATAAATAACCTTCTGCTTAATTCTTACTTGTGACTTACTTCCTTGGCCTCTAACAAAGTTAAATAAAGTCAGTGACTGGAGTAGGGTTTCCACATGTTCTGATTATTTTCAGGGAGGAAGATCCTACTTATCACTGTTCTAGGTCACTTTCCATCTCTGGAAAGCTTTGATTTGGTAGGCTAGCACCCAGTGACCTATTTTTTTTAACCATCACTGAGTGAGTATAGAGACTGCGTGCTTAGTTGACTATTGCTACTGAGAATATCAGCTCTTCTAGAGTAGACATAGAGTAAACGTATACATACTACAGTTAGATTTCATTGGAAGAAACCTTCTAGTCATCAAAGCTGCCAACCTGATCTCTCTTCAGGGGAAGTGCTCAGAGGTATAGGTGAAAAAAATCCAGGATTCACTTGAATCCTTTCCCTGTAGGAGGGGAGACAGGATTAATGGAGAATAAAGAGAGCCTGACCGGTGTGAGGCTGCACTGCTGAGACTCGCACTATGCTCAGTCATGCACTGTATCGGTAAGAATTTCAGTGCTACAGTAATGGTACAAATAGGGCATTAGTGCTGTGTTTTGCAAAGCCTGTGCACCCTTCATGTCTGTAAGTGGAGACATCTCTGGGTCTTCTGCTTGTAGATTGCTCTTTGCATTGGTGCTCAATAGCTGAACAACTTTGGCTGTTGAATGGAGCGCAGGTGTTTGGCTGTCAGGTGTATTAAACCCTGCTGTCAAAACCCAAAGGCTTATTTGGCTCCAGTGCCGCTAAAGCATGTGGAAGGTTAGCAGATAAATAAACAGTAGGATGTCAAGTTTCCTCTAGTAGTAGGAGTTTGGATTTGACTCTGGCTTCTTTTTTTCTTAAGACACTGAAATATGGAGAGACATACTCAACTCATTAAAACTCTTCAACCTCCTTGCACTCTTCTGATGCGTTACCAGAGCTCTGGCTTGCTTTACCTTTCAAGGATCACTTGATTAGACCTGTGCTTGTCTCCCTGTTAAGTGATCAGTTTTAGCTGTTGTGTGGTTGCTTAGGGTTTAGCATGCTCACAATCTTATGGCTGGCTTGAAAACTCTGCTTTATTTGTCTTGCTGTTCAGAATATGCACGTTGGTGACCTAAGCACCACTTGCTAGTGTACCTTCCCTCCTAGGATAATGGAAATGGAGTCTCTTGCTCTGAGGCATGCTGGAGCCAGCGGTGTGTTTTGGCAGTACTGCTGATCCGAAGCAGCCTGTGTCCACAAGAAGCGAACCCATGACTTGGACAAAAGCAGCATCTTGTCATGGGATCCAAACAGGCATCGATGGATGGAGTAGTATGTGCCTCTGTAGAATAAATCTGTTTCCTTCAGCTGCTGGTATTCTGAACCAATGCCAAGGGTTTACGTAATGTCCAGCACTTGCTGTGTAATAGGCTGATTTCCTGTAACTCCCTGAGCTGCTGCAAGGGCTGCCTTACATGAGTAACTGTCCTTGCACTGATGAGAGATTATTGCCTGGCTTCTTAAGGACACTATGCTAAAACACACAACCCTTATGAGTGCTTACCTTTGTACTGGACAGATCTGTTAGTGCCATCCAAATAACCTGTAGGAAATCTGCCAAACATTCCAGTCCTGAGATTCCCTGATAGTGCAAAAAATTCTGGATAAGGACTCTTTGGACAGGCTCCTAAAGTAGTAGTTCTTGCTACTCTGAAGCAAAATGTAGACCAGTGCTACCATTGCCTAGTAAATGAGTTCCAACTGGAAGCATCAGGTAAGGTGAGAATGATCTTCAGCATATCCAGGGGGATTTCATTTGCATCTCTGAAGAATAACACTCAACTCCTGATAGCGTTCACACAGGGAGCTGGGTGACCCTCAGCATAACTTTTACTCTAGGGCTGTTGGAAATGGCTAACTTCACTTTACCTTGGGGAAAGAGCTAATTAAGCAGAACCATAACTTGGTTGTGCTTCACTTTACTGAAAACTCAGGAGAACTGATGGAGTCTTTTCAATAGTAGTCTGTTGCTGTGTTTTGTAGAGATTTGGGTTTTTTTGGAAGGACAGGGCAGTCAGGCTTTTATTTAAGCAGTGTGCTGTCTGATAATTCTCCTCAGATTTCGTTAGTGCCTCGGGCCCTGCAAAAATGGCTTTTGTGGTGCTGAGTAATAGGGCTTGTAAACAAAACAGTAATAGCTCGGATGAGGGGGAGAACCCCACAGATTTATTGACAGTTGCCAAGTAATGGCTTAGGATATGATATTTCACCTGACAGGGGAACTGTAGCACATCAAACATGGTACTGATGCACTGCCTTGCTGACATTGTGTCTGTGGTTACAAGCTGCATCGTGTGAGCCTCCTCAGGTCAGCTCCAGAGGTGGTAACACTGGGAAAATCTAGAAATTGACTTTGGTTATCCAAGATACTGTGCTTAAACCAGCACAGTAACTGGATGCTGAGCTGAAACCAGCACAATAAAGCAAGCAGTCTTGCTTTTCTTTCCAGGCAGAGACATGTACTAGTGATCTGTTCACTTCCTGTAGAGTAGATGCTGGTCTGAGCACAAGCGCGCTCTTGAATTTCTAATGTTACACATTTTTAGAGGCAAGCCAGTCATTAACTTGTTCTGGGTCATGTTCACAGTGTAAGGTTCTGCTTACTGTCAGAGGAGTGGCAAGCACTGCATTACGCATAGCATTTTGCTGCAACAAGTTAGACTTGTTTTACTGTTACTCCTCCCCTCCATGTGCCATCTCCTTTCTGTGGACATGGGCAATACAACGTCTTCTGCAGAGAAACCCACGCTTATCTAACTTACACATGAGCAGATGCTCTCTGGTCTTCCAGGGTACTTTGAAAACAGCAAAAATAAACCAGAGCCTCTGACTGCCTGTGGATAGGTTTTTGACATTGGGGATGATGGCACAGATCAAGCAAAGGTTTAGTTAGTCCAGGATTAATAAATGTGGCCCAGCAGTACTTGCAGAACTGCAGTTTGTGAAATTTGATTGACATAAAATCAGAGTGACTGATTAAATAATCTGAAGAACTATTAAATTCCTGTATCAACTTCCAACTGTAGCCCATGTAACTGCTCACCTGCTGAAAAATGGTGATTTTAATCCTCAAGGTAGTGTTGTCTTGGCTGTCTCTAGATAAGGAGGAAATACTTTTTCTGTAAAATGGAACTTTTAAATTGGATTAAAGGACTCAAATTTTTCTCTGACACAGAGTATTTTACTTATGAGAACATTAGTTTTAGGGTGGTGTTGACCACCCTTAAGATGACCTAGGTTTTAAAACCCCAGTTTGAAGTGTGATTATGTTTTGTAATCTTAATGCTGAGATCCTAATCTACTTTTCCAATTAATATTGTATCTAGAGAGCTCTGAGGCTGGAGCGATCTAGAAAGCTTGGTGGAATTAATTATGCTCTATACTGCTATAATAGAGTGAAAACATTTCTTAAGAAAAACCCAGTGTCTAGCAGTGAGTGTCAGCAGGCATGTTGTGGTTCTCCTTTGTTCTGTGCCATCATGGGTAGCTGAGGGATAAGGTTTTGCCTGACAGGGATATTAGTAACACAGGGAGCGGTCTGGCTCTTCAGCCCATGTCCTGGGAAACCTTGCAGGTCTCTCACCTGGTTGTGCAAGGGACTGAAGCGCTCTCGAGCAGGATTTGCCAAGGCTCATAACAAAACTTCACGGAGGTGTTTCTATTCCTGCAGGAAATTCCTGGTTGTTTGTAACCAAGAAATATGTCTAACCCTTCTAATTGGTTTTCTTAGGGTAATGAGCATGCTCGAAGGTCCTCACTTCTTACTAGTGATGAACCATTGATCTACTACTACGATGATGTGAGAACGGCTTATGACATCTTCCAAAGGGGCGTGCAAGTATCAAGTAAGTGTAAAATTAAAGATTTTTTTTTTAATAACATTTGAGACCTAGAGGTCTGGACTCTTTTTGAAATGCAGCTGGGGATGGGGGAGGTCTGCCTAGCAATATGATAAATATATTGGGTGTGAGTGTTATTGTAGGCAAGTTCAACTGCTGCCTCTTGTAAAGCAGGGTTGTGTGAATAAAGTCAGTGCTGTGTTTCTTAGCCTAAACCAACCTTGTTGCCTCTGTGTCCTTCCCTCCTCCCCCTGCCCTTAAAAAAAAAAAAAGGTTTGTTGTCTTAAGGTGTTTGCAAAGAATCTAGAGGTGTCACGCAGAGTGTAGTTGGTGTGGTGTCAGGACAGAGGGGTTGGGGGTTAAATTTTGAGTGACTTCTTGATTATCGTTTTTTCAGATAATGGGCCATGTCTAGGTTTTAGAAAACCAAACCAGCCCTACGAGTGGATCTCTTATAAAGAGGTAAGTAGTCTGTCTGACTTAGTGCTAGACCTGTGTGTGCTTGCTGAGACCATAGATACAACATCCAGTAACGTGATATAACAAATATCAATTATTTATAGATGTGTTAAAGTACTAGTATTTTGCAGAAAGGTTCTAGTTCCTAGTAGAGTATCTTAAAGGAACAGACTCAAATATGTGCAAGGGAGAGGAAGAAAGGTATCACCTACACTTCCTTAGTTTATTAGTGGTTTTATTTCAGGTCTTTTCTGGGGGGAGGGGTGATCTTGGCAGCTTTTAGCATCTCACTGCTGGAATTGTTTAGAACTTGGACACTGCCTCTGAAGGGCTGCAGCTTCGAAATGGTATTTGGGGATTCAGACTACTGCTACTTGAGGTGCTTGTTCCTGGGAGACTTGTCTTGCACTAGGTGATGTCCTCCCTGCAGGTGTTACTCTTGCTCCGTGACAGCTTGTCTCCATAGTGCTGCGTGATGGCTGTGTAGGGAGTTCACAGATATGCGTCTAACCAGTAGCATCTTCCTTTGTGACTGCTAAAAATATCTTTATGCAAATCTTTGCTAACAGCTGCACACTTCTAGGTCGTTCCTGAATTAATCAGTTATTTTCTTCAAATCTGCATGAACCTTGCCTATTGCATACTGTTAAGGTCATTAAACACCTTTTGTATGTAGCGGGCCTCGCTTTTTCCAAGGTGACTTTGCTGGGCACTTGTTAGGTACAACCTCTTGTATTAAAGCCTTTCTGTTTGTGTCATGTGACTAATAAGGATTCAGGTCATGTGCTGTGTGGAAAGAATTTAGAAAACTGCCTTCCCAAGCTTTGTTTATAGAACTAGCTGGGCTTTGCCTCCTTATTCCCCTGCTTTTTGAAGGGAGAAACTCTGTTCCCATAGGCACTGAACGAAGCAGAAGGATGGCATATGTAGTGCTTGTGACTGAGCTGACTCATTCCGGGGTCACTTCTAGGCTTTAATACAGACACAACAAAACAGCCTTTTCTGAGCTTAACATAGGCTTAACACGTTCAAGTGTCTCTTCTGCTGCATACTGAGTGCAAGTGTATCAGTGTGGTGTAACACACAGCAATGTTTAGGCTATGAAAGTCAGAGGACATGTAAAATAACCAAGAAAACTTCTGTCTACTTAATATCGGTTATTGGCCTCCTTAGGTAAGACCTAGAGTAAAAAAAATGTTCTAAGGGTGTGTACTGATGAGCTTGCTCTCATGTTTTTTTTGTCTTCTCTCTTGTGTCTCCAGGTTTCAGACAGAGCAGAGTGTGTGGGCTCTGCTTTACTCCACCGAGGCTTCAAACCTTCTCATGTTCAATATATAGGAATCTTCTCACAAAACAGACCTGAGGTAATTGAATTGACAGTGTCTGTTGGTGATCCAGCTGTTAAAGTGGCCTGCTCTTCAATCTGTAGCTTTCTGGCAGTGAACTGAGCTTCCCTACTAAGTTCATTTGGTGCTGGGAAAGGGCTTAAAGGCTGACATTGTAGACCCGCAAGCTATGAATGTGGCATCTTTAGCTAAGAAGTAACACTGATAATTAACACAACTGTTAGTGTCTGATATTAGGTTTTTTTGCTGCCAGAGCTGAATGCAGGAGGCTGTAGAGCAGGAAGGCAATCAGGGAATCAAGAACAACTTCTTTTTCCAGTTTATGGAGGAGGCCTGTTTAATGGGATGCTAATACCATACTTAATGAATATAATCACAGAATGGTTTGGGTTGGAAGGGACCTCAAAGACCATCCCGTTCCAACCCCCTGCCATGGGCAGGGACACCTTCCACTAGACCAGGTTGCTCCAAGCCTCATCCAGCCTGGCCTTGAACACTTCCAGGGATGGGGCATCCACAGCTTCTCTGGACAACCTGTCCCAGTGCCTCCCCACCCTCTCCAGAAGAACTTCTTCCTGATATCCAATCTAACCCTCCCCACTTTCAATTTAAACCCGTTACCCCTTGTCCTGTCACTACAGGCCCTTGTAAAAAGTCCCCCCCAGCTTCCTTGTAGCCCCTTCAGGCACTGGAAGGTGCTCTAAGGTCTCCCCGGAGCCTTCTCTTCTCCAGGCTGAACAAGCCCAACTCTCCCAGCCTGTCCCCATAGCAGAGGGGCTCCAGCCCTCGGAGCATCTTCGTGGCCCTTCTCTGGACTCTGTCTAACAGGTCCTTGTCCTTCTGATGTTGGTGGACACACAGGTGGATGCAGCACTCCAGGTGGAGTCTCTCGAGAGCAGAGCAGAGGGGCAGAATCCCCTCCCTCGACCTGCTGGCCACACTTCTCTGGATACAGCCCAGGATACGGTTGGCTTTCTGGGCTGCCAGTGCACACTGCTGGCTCATGTCCAGCTTTTCATCCCCCAGTACCTCCACATCCTTCTCCTCAGGACTCCTCTTAATCCACTTGCTCTCTCAAAAAGCAACATTGGATTACAACATAATTGCAAGTGGTTGGAAGTCACGAGGAGGTATTTAAACCTTTGAAATCGCAAAGAAACAATTAAGTATATGGACAAATAGAAGATGGGTAAAAGTGATAGTTCTGTCTCTGCCAGAGGCCATGGGCACGAAGATTCTGGGAGGGAGAACTGCTGATGAAGGCAAAAACTGAAAATTAATTGCAGTTTAAGGGGGCATAAAAGTGACCTAATTAAAGATCACTTTGCTTTGTCAGGTGATCATGTTATGAGACAACTATGGGGTATTTAGATTGAAAGCTAGTGTCTATCCACTTTAACCCAGGAATGGTTAGAGATGGCTGTTTCTAAAAATATTAAATGTTCAGTACATATTCATTCTCTAGACTTGCCTATTAAATCTGTTTAATAGGACTGAGTTTCTCTAAGCTGTGTTTACATGCGTAGCAGCTCGAGCTGGTACTTGCTGCATTAAGTAGTTCATTCCAAACCTGTGTTAAGACAGGAGACTGGTTCTTAGGTTTTGTCAAAAATATCCTGTCCTTTGTGATTAAACACTCCCAGCTGGATGGCATTAGGTGGAGCAATCTGCAGTGGTGACAGAGTTACAGTGCATCAGTGTCTGTCGTGCTGACAACAGCTTCACAGAATCACAGGGTGGTTTGGGTTGGGAGGGACCTTAAAGATCATCCAGTTCCAACCCCCCTGCCATGGGGGGGTTTGGATTTTCCTGCTGGAAACAATAAGAGTAATAAAGGCTGGGATGCCTTCAACTAGGAACCTGTTAAATGACGTGGTGTTAGACTCTTCAGTTCAGTCTCCCGTGCTCGTAACGCTATGAACCGGCAGTAAAAAAGGGAGCTGGTGGTTGGCGTGATGCCAGTCCGAAGTGTTTCTCTGCAGACCTTTGGGTGCAAAGTCTGACTGCTGGGTCAGTGGATTTTCTGGAGGAGAGTGTGGCAACGTGTTCTGCTCTTGGGTCACAGAGATGAAATGTGCTTGAGTTGCAGTGTTCCAGCAGGCTTTGAGTTGGGTCAGAAATGAGCTAGAAAGACTTGTTTAAGCCAGCCATTTGAAATCTGGGATTTTCCCTGCTGAAAACGACTGGATGGGTGTTGTGACATCCCCAACATAATCACTAATTCAGATGGGAGATTACGTGAAGTGTTTTTGTGTGAAATGATTCACATTTGTCAGTCTAAGGAACAACTGCTGGGGAAATCCCCTAATGGGGGAGAGGCTAGCATGTTACTCTTCACTTTCACTAAAAAAGCACACTTGAATTTATAAAAAAGTTACTTTCGCTTTTGAGTAACTGGAAAACAGATGATCCCTTCTCCAAGGAAGGAAGTTTGGTTTGGATTGAGAAAACAGGGCAATGAATGTGCAGTGTCCCTGAATAGAACAACAGAGCCACGTCAGAAAGCAAACTGAAACTTTCAGGCTGCTGTTTGTAGTCAGTCCTGGTTGCTTGGGCTTTGAGACAGAACTCAAGTGTCAAGGTCTTTATGTTTATATGTAATTACTCTTAACTTTAGAAGCAAAAGTAGAAATGTTTTGGTAGTTCATAGAATGAAGATGCTGGTGGCTGTATTGAGAATGATGGTGTGCAGGAGTAGTTGGAGGCTGCAACAGGAAGCTTTTATCACTGTGGGCACCTTCTGAAGTCTGCTGCAGTAGACACCCCATTAAAAGAGCTGCTAAACTTCAGTCTGGGGGACAGCAATGCAGCTTCCCCCTTGTTACAGGGACAGGTGGATGCTGTCTGTCTAGGAGGAAATAGTCTGTGGACATTTTCTTGGCCGGTACAGGTGTGCCTGCTTAGGCTTATCAGTATGTCTTGTTATCTGCGTGGAAGTCTAGTTCACCTGTTGGCTGGCTTTGTCCTAGCTTTCCAAAAACTCTTTTTGGACAAGAGGGGTACAATTTACCCATTGTGTAAATCTGTTCAGAAAACATCGTTAAGGCTCTGTCAGTAGAAAACTTTATTACAGGTAAATTCCTTTAATTAACAGTTTGGAAAACTGAGATTTAGCAACCCTGTTAACGTAGCCTCTGCATTAGTTGTTATATGGAATCACCAGCTGAGTGATGCTTAAACTTGTTGTCACACGGGGGTGAGGTGGCTGGCTAGCATCCTGCAAAAACACTGGGAAGTGTGACAAGGTTTGGGGGTGGGGAAGGGAAACAAGCACCCTTGCTAACGCAATCCTTGGTGAATTGTTAAATTCTAGCTTTTAAAGATGTATGTTTTGTTCCTGTAACTGACTAGAGGTGCCATGTCTGAGAATTTTTGCCATTCTCTGATGGGGAAAAAATTCTGTTAATAGCTAAACTAAGGAGACAGTTATCACTATGTTTTTCAAAAGCACTCAATATTACTTTTAGGGGCGGACTTTAATGTAATTGGATTGTATTCTTTCCCGTACCTCCTTTATTGTTCATTTTTTTGATTCCTTCCACAGATAAAAAACTAGTAGGTCTTCAGAGTAAACAAATGATACAAACTGCCACTTCTTTCTTATTTTAGAAAGACTTGTCCAAGTGAGGTTTGTCCTGTAGGCTTCCTTGTTAGAACCCAAGCCGGAGTCTTGCGTGGAGATCTGTTATGATAAGCACACACAGTGACTTGCATCTTTTCCCTTCCTGCAGTGGGTCATCATTGAACAGGGATGCTATGCCTTCTCCATGGTGGTGGTGCCGCTCTATGATACCTTGGGAACCGAAGCAATTACCTACATTGTGAACAAAGGTAGGAACCTTTCCGTAGTTCAGCAACTCAATGTATGCTGGCAGAGGGCAGAACTATGGCCTTTGGAACAGTCTTCCATTACCACATTCCGAAGTATGTATGGATCAAGTCTACACTAGTCAGATTGATAACGGCACTCTCTTTCATCAGCTGACTTGTCATTGGTTTTCTGTGACAAACCTGACAAGGCCAAACTCCTGCTAACCAGTGTGGAAAAGGGAGAAACTCCGATACTCAACACCATCGTTGTCATGGAGTCTTTTGGCATGGATCTTGTGGAACGTGGCAAGAAGAGTGGGGTGGAAATCTTCAGCATGAGAGAAATAGAGGTAAGCCCGCTCCACTGACTTTACTGCTTTCCCCCTGGTTGCCTGTGGAGGAAGAAGACTGTGTCTGAACAGATGTTTAGGGCTGAACAAAAGGTGGTGGAGTAGTTTCAAAATACTTAACTATCTCTTGGTTTGAAGTTGACACACAGAATAGTTTTTAAAAAAAAAAAGAAGGAAACCAACTTGCTAATAGTATTTCACAGTGCTTAAAGTGTACGAGCGAATGCCAGGGTGACGGGACGAAAGCTCGTTAACCTAGTCCAGGCTGAACATCAGATCGGAGCGTTAAGGCTTGCCCGTGTGAAGCAGTATCGTGATAACTATATACCGTGACTCATCTGTCAGAAATGCCTCTTTCAGGAAGAGCCTGTGTGGGTTTGGGTCTTGTGGAAAAATAGCATCTTGCCATGTACACTGAATCTACAAAATGTTTTCTGGGGGAGGAGAAGAATGGCAGTAAGCTGTTCCAGGGTAGGCTTATGGTAATGCAGGGGGAATGAGACTTCCAGGTTTGGGAAGTAGAAACCACTTTTCTTGACCACCTCACGTTCAAGTCGTTGGTTTTGCTTTCGTTTATTTGGTCTGCGTAGCGCTCTCATGCAGGTTTACTTCCTAACCTCGCTCGTCATTTGGAGAATTGTGTCCCAGGATCAGATTGCATAAAGTACATCTTTACTGTGAGGCATGAAGCTGGCTCTTGCCTGGTTCCAGCTGGAGTTCTGGGGAGGGCTTGGCTCACTGGGACTGGGGTGTCTCCAAATCAGTGTGCTTGTCTCTGTGCGGGATCTGCTGGGAAATGCTTCATTTCCCTGAACTTGCTGCCACCGCAGCCTTAACTGCTGTGACAACAGGGCCACCTTCTGGTAAAGATACAAAAATCCGGCGTGTCTTTTCAAAGAAGACTTAACTGTTTTGTAGCCAACCAGCCTCGGCAAGGCTGCCAGGTTGGAATGGGGCTAAAAACGTTACGCAGAGCACCTGCCTTACACAGTGCTGTAGCTCGCTGGCAACAGGTTTGGGTTAAAGACTGCCCCAACTGCAAATTGGTACGCTAAAATCAGAGCTGAACTCTGGGCTTTGGCAGAGGAAGGTGCTTCTCACTGAATGTCATCTCTGAGTTAGAAGCTTAGATGCTTAAGTAGTGACTTCCAGTAGTGCCTTGTAGCTCCTGACAACAGGTGGTGTTTGGATTAATGCAGCAATAGGTGCTCTAAGTGGCTCTTGTCTAACTCTCAGAAGTTAGGCAAATTTGAGTATTTCTATTAGTGTTTCAGTGGGCAGGAATACGTTTTCTCACTTTTTTTTAAGAGGTAGAGGGTTTTAGTGTCTCCTGAAAGGCAACTATCAACTATTTAAGAGCTTAGATTAGAATAGAATGACTCTTTCTAGCTTTAAGTACTTTGTTTTCTGGATTTCTGGCTTGAGCTTATTGCTCAGCTGTGCTTTATAGGTTATGTGCTCAGTTCCTCTGTCTCCCAGATGCCATAAGCTTGGATTCTGTTGCCTTGACATCTGTATGTGTGTGGTGGTTACTTACAGTGGAGTGGTTGAGTACGTGGTTCTCGAATGGGAACAGATGTTGGAGTTCTGCTCTAAGAAAGCCTAACAAGTATGTGGGGATCTTTAGCTCTATATTCAGTAAATACCAGATCTTGTTCAAAACAGGCTATAGGGAAGTGTTGAGGTTCTGGTGGTACTTGAAATCCTAGTCTTTTAGGTTGGAAAAGACCTTTAAGATCAAATCCAACCGTTAACCTAACACTGCTAGTGCCACCACGAAACCATGTCCACCTCCTCCATGTGTTTCTTAAATACCCCTGGGGATGGTGACTAGGTATGCGTTCCTTTCTGCCTAGAGAACTATAGCATCGTTAACAGTCAGGCCTGAATCATCATAAGAAGGGAGAGTGAAGATGACATTCTGGAGGAGAGAACCTAACACATTTCTTTCCCTTTTCTCCTTCCTGTAGGAGCTGGGAAGACTGCACAGGCAAAAACCTATGGTAAGTGTGACATGAGTTCAAGCTCCTTAGCCTGAAGCTGATAGCATTCTGTAGGTCAAACTAGCACATCTCCCTTTCCCGTAGCTCAGAAGTAACACTAGTATTTCAATGTTTTGTCCAAGAAAACCTTTTTCCTTGCTATCTTAACCATACTAATACTTTCTTAACTCTCATAGCCTCCAAAGCCAGAAGATCTAGCAGTCATCTGTTTCACCAGTGGAACAACAGGTACACGTAATTACATTATGCAGAATTTATTGTTGTGCAAAATTAGATTCAGTAAGTCTCCCTTTGAGGTGTTTCTTTACTTCCCATTGATCAGTACAGTGTTACAGTATTGGGGGGTGGAGGTGTTACACTTTTGGGCTTGGAAATAAGTAAGTACTGAACCTGCATTCCCATATTTAGAAGGACTCTGCATCAGGCTTTTGATTCTTCCCTAGTCTCTTTTCATACCGTATTAGCAAGACTTGTTCCTTAGCTCCAAGCAACCCTGCTGTAAGACCAAAATAGACTACTGTCTAGATGTCACATGCCTGACACTTGTGACCTAATACCAATGCTGGCAGGGAGCAAAAGGGAAGAGTACAATGGCAAGCTACACTTCTAAAGCAGATGTGAGAGCAGAAATTAGCCTGGGTTTGATAGCTGGATCTTTTCAGAAGTGTTGGATTCTGAATGAGAAGCTTACCCAAGAAACATGGTGCTTTCTTCAGGATTTGTTCTCCTTGTGAAAACTGAGGACTTTGACACAAACTTAGAATAGCTGGTAACAGTAGTGTTGTGAGTGTGTTGGCGAGTTCTCTACCTTTGTTTAACTGAAATACGAAGCAAAGTATCAATATTGCAGAAGGAACTGATTGAAAAGCTATTCCCTTAGTTTTGCCACTGCTTAAAGGATGTGAAAACTTAATTGTTACCTCCTGATGTGGTGTGTGGTTTTTTTTTTTTCCTTAGGAAACCCCAAAGGAGCTATCATCACTCACCAAAACATAGTCAGCAATGCTTCAGCTTTTGTGAAAACTACAGAGGTAAGCTGCAAAGGTTAACACTGTGGGTCTGCGTGAAGGGAAGAATCTCGGGAGTAAAACCAGCACTGAAGTCTCGTGAACTTTGGTCTTGACTTCTAGTCAGATCCAAGTGAAAATGTAACTTGGCAGCTCTCTGCCCAAGCTAGGTCAGAAGTCCATGTTGACTGGTTTCTCCTGTTAGGGTCAGGAACCTTGACAGATTTGGGCTGATCAAGCAAAATGTTCTAAAGATCCCAATGTGGATCTGTGTTACGTTCTGTTGCGGGGTTGGAGTGTTTGTCAGTAGTGCAGGGTTTGTGTCGAGGCTAACCTTTTCCACTAAGCATGGGAGAAGCTACAGCGTATTTTTATCTCCCCAAAATAATTAATGCCCTTGCGTAGATGAGCAGGAAGTGTAATTCTATGTCTTTTTACCTGAGCCAGTGTTGACTTTCAGGTCACAGCAGACTACTGAAGTTCATCTGCAGGCTGGCTAAGAATACAGTTCTAACACAGATGTAATTAAAAATACAGTTGTACTTACTTATGCAAAGCACTTGGCAATAGAATTATTTAAATTAAGCAACTGATCTCACAATTAGTTCATGTAAGGTATTTGATATCAACTTTTGTAGTAAGTTGGATAAGCAAACTTTCTGATTTAAGGTGAAAGTGTGTATTTTTTTTTTTTAAACCTCTAAGGCATACTAATTTAACCTCTTTTGTTCCCCCTCCCTCGCAATGTACATATCGGAATTTCCTGTGGTTTCTCTCAGAACTTGTTTCTGTTCATAAGCATATGAAGGATAAACTGTAGTCTGGTCACTGTAACTGAATGCCATTTCTGCTCCGCGTGTTTACTCGTGCTAGAAGTCACTGCTGTACTCTTTTTAACGAAAGGCAGTGCAGGTTCGTGACAAACAAAACTGAAGTGGAGCTTAGATGCTAGATTTCGCTGTTGTGCTTAACTTAGGCAAAATAAAGAATCGATGAGAGCTAAATGTAATTTTCCTAATGCTTTCAGAAAACATTTATGCCCTCCTCCGATGACGTTCTGATATCATTCCTGCCCTTGGCTCACATGTTTGAGAGAATCGTTGAGGTAAGCATCTGTTGGTTGTGCTCAACTCTTGTAGCTTGCTTCCCTCACAGAATGCCTGTCTCTGATCCCAGTGACACAGGCTCTTCCTTTTTGACTGTTGCACGTGTGTGTGAGAGCTTGAGGTAAGGTTCAGGAAAACAGTATCCCACAGACAAGAGTCAGTGAGTACTAGACAACCAGCTTTCATGCTGAAATATGAACACTAACCTTAGAGCCAGGGTTAATAAGAACATGGTTTACTAGAGCGCGAGCCAATCCCTGCGCACGTGTACACTGCCTAGAAGTTCTCTCCAGCGTAATCAGTGAACAACTAAAAATCCATGCCATTCTTCGGTCTGCAAGCTGAATTGGTTGTGTAAGCAAGCAGGATGCCACACTGTGAAATACATTTGTACAAAGTTAGTTAAACTTACTGTTGCTTCCAGGAAACTGTGATTAAAAAGGAAGGGATTTTGTTGCAGTGGAAGTGAAAATGGCTTTTAATGCTAAACCGTGAAGTTCTCCCAGATTGCTTGTTCTACCACGTAGCAAAACCTGGGGCTTCATTTTTGAGGGTGAGGGGAGCTCAGGTTGTCTGAATACTGGCAGCATTAGTAAGGACCTCTGAGCCCCTAGTTGGGTAGCATGCATTATTGCAAGGATGCAATTTCCTCAAGCTTCCTGCAGCCAGTAGAGGCACAGGTATTCAACGTATTTGCTGAAGTTGAATTAACACCTCTCCCTTAGGTGAGATCGCGAATATGTTTGTTGAAGGTGGAAATAGGAAGAAAAGGGGTTTATAGGTGGGGCTGAGGCTTCTAGACTCTAACAGACTATAGTACAGGACAGAGGACAGGATGAAGTCTGCCCGCTTGGTGTAAGCCTGAAGCGATGAGAAAACTGTAAGTGGCTCTGCTAGAATCTTCCAAAGAGCATCTTGATCATGTAAGAGCAAACCTACTTGCATCAGCCTTGTGGAACAAAGGAAGACCAGAGTGCAGGAGAATGAAAAGCAAGTCGTACAAGGCAGAAATCCCTGCCTGATCGCTGCATAGCATGTGCCCACTTTTTAGTGTATAGCAGGGAACAAGCAAAGCTCTGGTACTTTTTAAATAAGCCTGATAAATATTTAACATAGAAAAGTTCTGCTTTTCAGTCTCTTGCTACCTCAGAGTTGCTGCCGTTGCCTTATTTGGCCAACTGCCCCTTTTTGCACAGGGCCTTTTGTGCTACAGCTTAGTCTAGCCAAGTCCTTGGCCTGTGTACAGCAGGCATGTCTTGCTACGTGGTCTTTGCAGTCCCACCCTATAGCCTGAGAATGCTGCGGAACTTGCCCAGAAGCTGGGAGGGCTGAAGGTGGACTCCACACGGGATTGTCGTACGCGTATAGGCAGAACATGCTAAAAGTCTGGAAACACAGCATGTATAAACTCTCTTCTCACAGTGTGTGGTTCTGTGCCATGGAGCTCGGATAGGATTCTTTCAAGGCGATATCAGACTACTTATGGATGACCTAAAAACACTGCAGCCGACTGTGTTTCCTGTGGTACCCAGACTGTTGAACAGAATGTTTGACAAGGTAAGTCTGCAGGTGTGAGTCCAGACTTACCAGAAAGAGTCTTTGTTAAATCTGTGCTGACAGGGTAGGAGAAACTGTTGTGCTCCAGGATGTTAACCTGGCATGCTAACAGCTTGGTGTGGGTCTTTCGAAAAGAGCTGAAAGCACAGGGGTTAGTACTGGTTGTATTAAAACACTTTCAGGCAGCAAATGGTGTTGAAAAGCTTGACTAGGAGACCGGGTTCTCTCTAGCTTGATTAATAACTTACTGTTTTGCTCTGAGCAAGTTATTTTAAGTCCAGTCTACAACACGAACGTGAGGCTTAGCATCTGCATGCTTTTAGCATCTGACTCACGGAGCGGAATTTGCAAACCGAAGTCAGGTGCGTGCCTGTGTCTGTGTGGGCACATACAAGTTTCCTACGCAGCTGCCAGAGGGTTCTAGCAGGGAGAACTGTAAACCAGCCAGCCTGGAGTGCTGGGGAGGGGGTGTGTCAGCAGCCCCAGTCTGTCCTGTGCTTGCCTCTTGCCTGCTCGGGGTCATCTGAGATGGGAATTCAGAAGTAGGTTCTTTCTTGAACTTTTAAACCAGCCTTTTGCATGTTGATGACTGACTCTTCTTAGGACGTTGCCAGAGGAGTTGAAGGAGACAAGAAGTCCTGTGACAGCTAAAGAAATGACAGGACATTAGCTGGGACACTGCTCTAATGTGAGACTAGAGGGACAGCAAGTAATACCAAGTTTTGTGTGGCCCCAGGAAGCTAAAGAAAGTGTCTGTATGCAAGGCAGATCACTGGTATTTCTGAAGGGATCTGCACCTCCTCAGAAAACCCTGTGTTACTTCACATGGTTACGGTGTGCTCTTCGGAATACGCTGTGGGTTACACTGAACTCGGCCTTTGATCAAACTGGGACAGAAAGTAACACATCCACTTTCATTCATACACTTTAATGGAGAAACTGTACATTGAAAAACACGGCACAGTTGGATGGGAAACAAGAATTAGTGAAGTCCTAAGTGTGCTGGACCTTTCTTGAACTGAGGTGAAGAGGCTAAAATCCAAATCCACAAGTATTTCTTACCAGAATTAAGATGCTTACCAAAAGAGGTTGTTTAATTGCTTTGTTTTCAGATTCCACTGTTCGGAGTCTCTGTGCCCCCTTCTGTAAGAAGGGGAGTGGTAGTGTGTGAGGCTTCTAACCACAGCTCATTTTTTTCCCCAATAGATTTTTGGACAGGCAGATACTTCATTAAAGAGGTGGATGCTGGATTTTGCTTCCAAGAGGAAAGAAGCAGAACTCAGAAGCGGCATAGTCAGAAATAACAGTTTCTGGGATAAAGTCATCTTCCGCAAAATACAGGTATACTTGAAAAGCCTCCGAGGCCCAGAGCCTGTGCCTGATGGACGTTGGAACTCTGTAATGATGTTATTTGTTTGCATGTGAGTGTTTTGAGAACGGAGCTCCAGACGTGCCTATGGAGTTACAGAAGAGCGCTTTGATACGTGTGGTCGGTACTGGAAGTGTGAAGCATTGCTATATACCCTACTGGTCTGTGGGTATCGGTTTGCAGCTGCTGGATTTCAGATGAATGGCTGTAGGCTGTTCTGGCTTCCATCCCCGATTTAGAGACTACCTGGCTACTCAGAATAAACCCCAAACTGTCCCAGTTCCAACTTCCATCTTTCAATTCCCTTTGTTCTAGTAACACCAGCTAACGGTATTAGGGAGCTTTCTCTGAGTCTGGTGCTTCTCTCATACTGCTTTGAAAGCAAATGCTGTCCTTCAGAAGGAGGAAGGCTAAATGTGACTTAGTGTCACCTGTAGCCCCTACTCTCTCCTCCTTGTTGGTCACCAAGTTATGCCTGCGATTATAGCTGGCGCTCGCCCCAGCCTTGGCTGTGCAACATGCCCCTGTGGCTGATTTTTACGGCATTCAGGACGTACAAGAAGCTGATGGAAGGCAGTTAAAAATAGGCATTGCTGTAAGGCAATGACTTAAGCTCTCTTAGCCCCTTGAGCGTGCGTTGCGGTGACGCTACAGCACGGTCTTGGTAGGTGCTGTAGGTCTGAGATGCTGTTTCTCCCAGACATTAATGGGATTAGAAACTCTGCAAGAAAGAGGGCTTGCAACAGGAGACGACGCTTTAACGTTGCAGGTGGCACTGTGGGTCAGCAGTGGCTGAGGGTGGGATGGACAAAGACTCTGGAAACTTCTCTAAAAATGCTTTTGGTGTCCACAGTATCTTGTGTCTGTTGTAGGCAAGTCTGGGAGGAAAAGTAAGGCTCATGGTCACAGGAGCAGCACCCGTGTCTGCAAGTGTACTGACCTTCCTGAGAACTGCTCTGGGCTGTCAGGTGAGTTTCCTGGCCCTAATCCTAAAGCATAAAGATCTTGGTACCTCACTCCAGCTTTAATATTAGAGCATTTCTAGTAGTCTGATGGTATGGTTAACTCTTTGTGGCATTCCTCTTGGAGATTACACGAGTGCATACTGCTGTCCAGAGCTTCCCTCTGTCCCCTGAGACTTCTGCATTCGTCCCAAAGTCTTCATTATAGCTGAACTCTCTTAAGGGGGAGATTTTTGAGGGCTGCTGAAAGCAGTAATCAATGTTCTTAGCTAAGTTTCTGGGCCTTGCCTTGCTTACACAAGTATCCTATAAGTGTTGCGAGAGTCTCATCGATGTGGCGATACTGTAGCGCTATTGCTGGGAAGGTGAGACTGGGAAAGTCGGGCTGCACACGCTGCATTTATCTTCGGTGTCTCCTCCAAGTACATGCTCTTTGAGGTGGAATCTGAACAACAGTGGCACAGGGTGGAATCAATGTGTTGAAATTTCAAGGATAGAAAACAACTAGAAAAATAAACGAAATGTGAATTCCGTTTTAATGAAGAGACTACGTTGAACAGTAAAACTTAATAATCTCTTGGTTTCACGTCCTAGTTCTATGAAGGTTATGGGCAGACTGAATGCACAGCTGGATGCTCGCTGTCACTGCCTGGCGACTGGACAGCAGGTACGGTGCCATGGCCGGGCGGACAGTTAAACGTGGCAGTGCGCCCCGGAGGCGCCCGACGATGTATTTCTTACTCCAGTACACCTGTCGCAAAGTGTAAGGCTCTGGTTGCGTCAGGTGAAGCAACAAACCTTTGAAGGGATCCCTTGGAGTTCCTCTACCCCTAAATAGTGAGGCATGTTCAGTAATCCAAACTTTTAATAGGCTTTGTTCATGTAAGTTGAAGTAGATTTAGGAAAGGGATGGTCATAGTATCAACCCTTGTAAGTCTTACTCTGTAAAAACACACAGTGCTGGAAACTTAAACGACACGTTTTGGTGTTGGAACCAACCGCCTGCATTTGTCAGGTGTTACATCTCTACCTCCCTAACTGACATAATACCGACAGTTGAAACTACAGCGCGACTTTGCTACTTAAATATGTCTGTGGAGTGAGGGTCATAATTATAAGGAAGCCTGAGTACATCGTTCAGCCTGTAACACTCCAGGGGTATGTAAGAATTTGAGTCTCGGCAAACTTAAGCTATTACTGTACTGACAGTGGTGTAGAACACTACCAGAAATCAGCGTTCCATCTGTTTTTTCCACGTTAGCATGTAACCAACTGACTGTTCTAAGAACCTGACTAAAAAGCAGTTCAGGCTGCTGAAGTGTTACTGCTTACAGGTCACGTGGGAGCACCCATGCCATGCAGCATCATCAAACTCGTTGATGTGCAAGAAATGAATTACTTGGCTGCCAAAGGCGAGGGTGAGGTAAGTCATTTCAGCTGGTCAGGATGAGCCTCTTACGAAATACTGGAAAATATCTTTTGTTCCTGAAACGACATAACTGTCTGGGTTTAAGTGCTATGCGTGGTCTGCTGCCTAAACCCAAAGATGCCTGCATGCAGCGTCAGCTCATGATTCGCAGAAGCAAGGCAGGAAGCAGCGTGTTGGAGGGGAGAAGCAGCAGCTTGCTGTGAGAGAACAGGTTATGGTGCTTTTACTCACGTGCCGTCGTCCAGCTGTGGGACAGCTGTGAAGCTAGCTAGCTCACACGGCATTTATCACTCAGTAGAATGCTAGCGGAGGGCTTCCCCTACCCCCGCTGCTGAGTGCTGGGAAACAGCCGATGCGTGTAGCACGTGGTGTGTGGGGTGAGGTAATTCAGAGCTTCTGGAGCACTGTTCAGAGACATGGAGATAAAATGCTAGGAAGGCTGATGGTGAGCTGACCTCTCCTGCAGCCCGCGCAGATCGCGTGCGTACGTCCTGCAAATTGTGCTTTGGGGACTCAGCTCTGCATATAATGTTGTGCTGTCTTCTTCAATATCTCTTTCTGAGTAAAATATATACACCTTGAACTCTGTGTGTAGACTTGGAACAGATGTCCACGTAGGGAGTTACTTTCAGGGTTTGGGGAAAAATTAAGTTAACTGTCTTAAAGTGTCTTCATAATGCTTTGAGAGGCCTTGGGGGCAGCTGGGGGCTAAGATGAAAAATAAAGTCGCTTAGCAAATAACTAATTTGTGACTGCAAACAATATGTAATCTTTTTTTTGGCTGTAATTTGTATGAGACTAGAGAGAAATCATTGGGCTTCAGTTCCCAGAAATACTTAAGAATTTCTGCGGTAGGAGACTGTTTTCAAGTGGAGAGCAATGTTAAGATTCTTTCCTGTCTGGCATATGATGCCATGTTTAGTCTTAATCAGCAATTCTTGCTTCACTTTAAATGTGCTTTTAAAGCTTGGGCTGCTGGAGGAACTGAGTATAAATTGCCATAATGAGAAAACAGTTAAGGGGCTTCAAACCAACTCCTTAAAATATTTTGCTTGCACTTACTGTGAAAGTTTGCTGTGGTAGGAGTTTCTTTGGACTTGAATCGATACGACAGCCCCTTAACAGGTCACGTACCACCTTTAGTCTTTCAGACCTAACTTCCTTGGCGTGAACTGTTCTGAATTTAGCAAGTGGGTGTTGTAACTTGTTTCACAGAACTGCAGCCCACAGCTGTAGAAGTGGCTCTCATTAATCCAGCTGCAGCACAGACAGTGAGGAAGATCTATTTTAGGCAAAGGATAAACACTCCTAGTCCTCATTTCTGAGTGGAAGCTTTCAGTATTTCCCATTCTGTCAGCCTTGCATCTCACTTCTGCCAGTTGTTTGTGTTCAAGAAGGATAAACCTGTGAACAGAATTCTGTATGCTCACGTGCAGGTGAGGTCTTTAGTACCCAGTGGCAGGATACAGGTAAATGGCTTGCTGTCTCTACTGGGAAAAGCTGTCACCTACTGCCATCCTGCGACTGTAGGAGCCATGAAAAATGAAACGTTTGACTTGAGTGGGACATAGACAATTCTCCTCTACTCCTCCCCCCAGATCATTTCTGCTGTAAAACAGAGCTTACCTGGGATTGGTCACCAGTTTGGTACTGTTCTACAAGGTCACCAGAACCCTCGCTAATACTGACCCCTCTCCTATTGACACACCTCCTGTTCGTTGTGTGGTAGTTCTCCTGCATGCCTGTATTTATGCTGAGGGAAGCACTGAGAATGCTTGGGCTGAGTTTTGCAAGAACTGGTCTCTGAACTACACTACTAATTTTTTCTAGTCTGAGAATTGATATTAGCACCTGAATACTCTTTAGCTAGTTCCTTGCCTATCTTACAACTGTACTAATCCCCTAGACTAATAGTTGGCCTAGCATTTTTATCAGCCCCTATCAATCCATTATTACCCATTTGGATTATCCCTGGAAGTGTTCAAAGGCCAGGCTGGATGAGGCTTGGAGCAACCTGGTCTAGTGGAAAGTGTCCCTGCCCATGGCAGGGGGGGTTGGAACTGGATGGTCTTTAAGGTCCCTTCCAGCCCAAACTGTTCTGTGATTCTGTGATTTGGCCTAAACATAAACCAGGATTTTCTGTCCCATTCTTCTAGATTTGATTCCCAATACTGTTGCCCAAACCAGACCCTTCTTGGTGTGTCCTGTCACCCACACATGCCAAGCCACTCCTGAGCTGGTGTGATGGCTTGAATCCTTCGTTGCTTCTGAGGACTCTTGTGCAGAGCTTTCAGGGGTGTTGGACTCCCAATTCCCCAACAGCTGTGTGCAGTGGGCATCTTCATGTTCGACTTCAATCTTGTTTATCTTGCCTCTCTCTGCCTTCATTTCTACTGTCCTGCTGATCCTTAAATAACAGAGTTCTGTCCTGTGTCCCACATCTCTCCACCGAAGAAAACTTACCCAGTCTTGGTGGTTATCTTGAGAAGATACTTAAATCTGGGATCAGCTCTGGATACTTGAGCTCTGCTTCATGTTCCTGATCAGCTGCTTTAATTTCATAGAGGGGAAGGGGTTAGAAGGGACCCCTAGAGACCATCTAGTCCAACCCCCCTGCCAGAGCAGGATCACCTAGAGTAGATTACACAGGAACAAGTCCAGGAGCCTTTGGAAAGTCTCCAGGGAAGGAGACTCCACCCCCTCTCTGGGCAGCCTGTTCCATCAGGCTGAACCTTCTGTTTTCTGGTTTATGGCCATTGTCCCTCATCCTGTTTCATGGTCTCTTACTGACACATTACTAATTGTTTTAACTTAGCATGTAAGGTCTGAGCTGGTTCTCTGGCAACCTCTTCATCTATAAACCTTTAATCTGGTTGGTGCCTTCCTCGTTCCTTGTAGGCCCAGTTTTGATCCTAATAACATTCATGCATCCAGTTAAATCCAGAGGAGCGGTCCTTAGTTGGTTTACTTGGTACACCAATCCAGACAACCTTCAGCTTAGAGGTGACAGGTTTCTGTTACGGAGAAGCCTTGAGTGCTCTAGGGTAGTACCTGCTGTATGTGCAGGCAACAAACACGGCTGCTCGATGCACGGCCCTTTCAGGGCTGGCTTTAGCACGATGCCCCTGCTGCCTACCAGAGCTGAAACTAGCATGTTGCCAGGCTGGGAGTAATAATTCTGGATCCAGCGGGACTTCTTCAGGTAAATAGAAACTTTCTCTGATAAATGCAGATTATTCAAATAGCAGATAGGGGTGCTGCTGCTAGGCTGGGGGAGAACGGATGCTTCCAATTGCTGCTGCTTACTCTTTGTACCAATGGAAAATGTTAGGCCTATAAAAACCCTTGGGTAGGTATTTCTGTACTAATGCATAAAGTTCATCTTCCCCTTTTAGAGGGGGTCACTCAGAAGCACTGGGGAAAGCACTCACTGCAGACAGTGTTTTAACTTCCCTTCCTATTAGTGTACATTAACAAATGGCTGTTTTCAGGTGTGTGTGAAGGGGCCAAATGTATTTCGTGGCTATCTGAAAGATCCAGAAAAAACAGCAGAAGCTCTGGACAAAGATGGCTGGCTTCACACCGGAGACATTGGGAAATGGCTACCAGTAAGTAAGCCTCACATAGCTGAAGTGTGCTTCTGCAGTTAGCAAAAGAGCAGATATTTGGCATTAAACACAAGGACTTAGGTGAAAGACGAGTAACTTTAGGAGGAGGATAATTAGAGTTTGTGGTTTAGTCCCAGCGGCAGCTCAGCACCATGCAGCCGCTTGCTCACTCCTCTGCCCCCAGAGGAGAAAATGTAATGGAGGGATCGCTCACCAGTTATGGTCACAGGCAAAACAGACTTGACCTGGTGGACAAGTAGTTTATTACCAATCAAATTGGAGCAGGATAATGAGAAATAAAAACTAAATCTTAGAACACCTTCCCCCCACCCCTCCCTTCTTCCCGGGCTCAGCTTTGCTTCTGATTCTCTACCTCCCCCCTGCTAGTGGCACAGGGGGACAGGGAATGGGGATTGTGGTCAGTCCATCACACGTTGTGTTGGATGCTCCTTCCTCCTCAGGGGAGGATCCTCACACTCTGCCCCTGCTCCAGCGTGGGGTCCCTCCCATGGGAGACAGTCCTCCATGAACTGCTCCAGCATGAGTCCTTCACACGGGCTGCAGTTCTTCACCAACTGCTCCAGCGTGGGTCCCCCCCATGGGGTGCCGTCCTTCAGGAGCAGCCTGCTCCAGCCTGGGCTTCCCACAGGATCACAGGCTCTTTGGATGCATCCCCCTGCTCCAGCGTGGGGTCCTCCCCGGGCTGCAGGGGGTCTGTGCCCTCCCCCCCATTTAAGCTTGTATGAAACCAGAATGCAGGCAACAGCCCTTCCGGTCTGTTGAAAGCTTAACAGGCCGCATGCTAACAGGAGGTCGAAATAGGTAGGAACAGGCGCCTGTAAGTGTCGGCCGTGGCACGTTACGTAGTGCCGCATGGCACCCTTCAGCCGCGTAGATTGGTTGTTCACTTGAAGTGCCTCTTCTGAGTGGAAGTTACTTCTGTCAACAGAACGGTACGCTGAAGATCATTGACCGGAAGAAACACATATTTAAACTAGCCCAGGGAGAGTACATCGCCCCAGAGAAAATAGAGAATGTGTACCTGAGATGTGAAGCTCTAGCGCAGGTGTTTGTCCACGGGGAGAGCTTGCAGGTAAGCACCCTTCAGGTGACTTCAGAAACGCGTGCGGGAGGAGACTGCAGAAAAGAGTGTTCCTTTCCACCCTTCCCCTCCCCCATCCCAACTGTGGGACTGGAATCTTGGAGGTTTTGAACATTACGCGCTTTGGTTCTGAATGCACTTTCAACTCCAGCGCTCGTCTCTGGGTTTAGTTTGGGACCAGGCTGTGGAGCTGCACTGTCACTGGGCGTTGGTGACCGTACGTAAGCTGCAGTGATTGTGCAGGCAAAACACGAAACCCCATTTCCAGGTTTTTGCGAGTGACTCAACACTGATTAGTAGGAAACGTGTAGGAACTGAAGTGCTGACTTCAAGAGACAAATAATAAAAAAAAGCTTGACAAAAATTCCTTTTTAGGCCTTCTTAGTAGCTATTGTGGTACCTGATCCCGAGACTTTGCGCAGCTGGGCCAAGAAGAAGGGATTTGAGGGCTCCTACGAAGAGCTGTGTAAAAACAAGGTGAGCCATAGCTAACGGAGCAGCTCGCTGTCCTGCGTCAACCCTTTCAGGCTGTACAATGTATTCCTGTATCCACAGGACATCAAAAAACACATTCTGGAAGACATGGTGAGGGTTGGGAAAGAATCTGGTTTGAAGTCATTTGAACAGGTAAGATGCTAATGAGAACAGAATCCCTAATTCTTGAAAGTCCTCTCAATACCTGAACCACTCTTAATTTGCATCTGGAAAAACCTTGGAAGTGATGGGCTTTGGCTGTCTGGGCCATCCCTTTAATAGCCTCGGGCAATCCCTTTAATGGTCTGCTGCAAGGGGTGCAGCTTGGCCAGTAACCCTTTATTTCCCAGGTCAAAGACATTGTCGTGCACACCGAGATGTTTACGATTGAAAATGGGCTGCTGACACCAACGCTGAAGGCGAAGAGACCAGAACTGCGAAAACACTTCCAGTCGCAGATAGACGAACTCTATGCCAACGCCAGAATGTAACAGCGGCGTGAGGAGGGTGGCACACGTCTGTCTGCTGTTGGCCTTCGTCTCTGTAATTCGACTACAGCAAACATAGGGAAGGAAACCGTGCAATCAGTAACTTGTTCAAAAATGGGTACTTGCCATAGGAACGTGGAAGAAATGGAACACTGCCTTACTGTCAAGTTGTGTTGCATTACTGTTTTTATGGTGACCTACGATTTCCAAAAAGAGCCTTAACTATAAATGGTAACTATATGTAAGTTATTTAAGACTTGGCCAAAAACGGGACTCTCCTTCACCAAGGAGCTATGGTTTTCTCATTGCCAGCATGTTTGCTGCCTGCAGCGTATTCTGCAGTTGTCAGTTCCACAAAGGATTTGGCAGGTTCGAAAACACCTCTGTATCCTGCGGCCTCAGCAGGATTACTTAAATCTGTTCCAAAAAAAAACCCACCCCTCTACGGCTGCACAGCTGGTGTCGCACCTTGCGTTAGCGCTAACCCAAACCGGGGCAAGGCCTCTGAGCGTTCTGTCCCTCTGCTGTCTGCAGCCAGATCCGAGATGTGTTTTTGTAGGGCAGGACTCCGCGCAGGCGACTGGCGAAGAGCAGTTCCCCTGAGCACGCCCGCACGCGGCGCTTCTGCCCTGGGAGCCTGGGTGCGGTTAGTCGGCGAGTTCTTACACAAACCCAGAGTAACACCAGCCCCGTCGGCGAGCAGATCCCGACTCCGGCGAGAGCACCAGAGACCTGAAACCGAAACCCCGCGGGAGGCCGGGCTGTGCTGACCGTCAGGTCAACGTGGCCCCTGTACTGGCCGCTCGCTTCCCTGTCGTGAGCGTGTATTTGAAGCGGGCCGGGTGCTCTGTGAGCAGAAGAGCTGCTGCCCTAACCTCTCCGTTTCCTCTGCTCTACGTAGGAGCCACCACGTTTTCACTCAATAGCAGCGTAGGTCAGGGGGCAGGTAGAGTGGGTCTTGCCTGATGCTTTGCAGCCATTGGAAGTATTAAATATGCCAGCGGAACGGTGTGTTGGCACTGTTCAGGGAGAAAAACCTAATTCCCAGGTAAATTACGGAATCCCTAGTTACCTTTTGTTTGAGAAATGGGCAGAAATAAGCCTTATTACAGCCTGAGTCTCCTGCTATCCTTAACGGAGTTGGTTTTGCGTTAGCATTCATTGCTGTTTTTGGAAAACATGGATATGTGTAAAATACAAGCACAACGAGGTTTGCACTAAGATTTGTGTGTGATTGTAATGCACTACTCCGTAGCATAATTTCATACGTGTGTGCAGTTCAGGTACACGGACCCCAGTCAGCCGTTAGAGCAGTTGTTTGTTACATTGGAACTCAGATGTTTGCTTAGTGTTGGCTATTTCTATGTTTTATAAAACCAAAACGATTTTCAAAAACCAATGAAGGAAACCAAAATAAATATTTCCGCATTTCAACTGGGCGAGGCGTGTGTTTCTCGAGGAAGGGGGCCGCTGACCAACCGGCCGAGGTGTTCACGCGGTGACGCCGAGAAGCCGTACCGCTCGGCCGCTGCGCGCACCCTGAGCAGAGGGTAAATGCTGGTGGGCGACGGCAACGTTCTGCTTCGGTCCGGTGTTTGTGTAAGCGTTTGGCCAATGGGGATGCTGTGGCATGTAACTTCCTCCGTGAGCGTTCGTAAAACACCAAAACCCTTTATCTCTGCCTTCGGCATGGTTTCTGACAGGTAGGGTCCTTCCCTTCCTGAACAACTCTTCAGTGAGACCTGGAGCGTTCTGGACCTCTGACGCTGCTCTTGGGTGGTGGTGGCTGTCCGTCCCACGTTGTCATCGTTCCTCCCCCCCTTACACCCTGCAGCGGCAGTGGTATGGAATGAGGGATTCCATGGGCAGATCCATCAGCCTGTGGGAGATGAAGCATCACCACCCGGATATGGTTGAGCGCTGTGTTGGTGTTACTGTGAAGGAGTGAGCACGCCTCTCTGCCTCGCCATGGCGGGCTTTTCCTCTTGAGAAGTTCTGGCCGTTCCTTTATCCTGTCTGAGAGAACTCCAACCCCAGTTTTTGGCACTGACTGAACACCGTCTTCACGTATGTTTCTGGGAGAGGCAGCCTGAAGCGTTACCACACCTCTCCAGGCAGAGAGGGCAAAGAGGTGGCCGGGAGCTGGATCGAAGGTTTGTGTTCTTGGCGCTTCCCATGGGAGAAAGCTTTCGGGAAGAGCCGCTCTAGGACAGGAACAAAGCTGTGCCGAGTGTGGGCTGTACTCGTTACTGTTGGCTCAGGGCCTGCAGCGTGGGGCTGGGTGCTGTAGTACACAGACCATTCCACCGGTTAATCCCAAACCGGTGGTTTCCCTTTCCCAAAAGGAGGGGGCAGGAGGGAACAGCAGATCCCTGGAAGAACCCCTTTACCTGTGGATGATGTGGAGTGAAAAGGGTCCCTCCAGCCCATACAACCTTGGTTGGTAAATTGCTAAACCTCTTAGTTACTCAGCAATTACGCTGTTAGTGAGTGCCAGAGAACTGGAATTACAAATTTTCCATCTGAAATCCTACGGGTTTTGGCATACTACTCCAGCAAGTACTATTTTTGGTATGTTTTTCAATCAATTTCTTAACTGCTGCCAGTTTTTGACCGTGGCTGTCAGGTCATTGTTAAGAGCGGTAATCCCGTTCGTTTGTTTTTCCGTGGTAGGTAGGAAACGCGGGACAAGTGCTGCCTTGGCCTGTTCCTAAGGAGCTGTGAGGGGGGGAGAAGAAAGCCTGGGCCTTGCAGGGGGGGAAGGGTCAGAGGAATTCTTATGGAAGGCCGACTCCAGAACGTGCTGGTGGGCAGTGCACACCTTGGATGTGCCCTGGGGAAAAAAGCAGTAATTTGGGAATGAGGAAATGGCTTTTCTCCTCATCCATCCCTTCCAAAGGAGAGG